AGTGAAGGACCTTTTTTTCGCGCCGTTGGAGATCGACTATAACTTAAAAAATATTTAATTTTTTTCTTCAAAAATTTCACTGTATATTTTTGAAACATGTATAAATATATTCTTAAAATTTTGAAATAATTGATAAAGAATTTTTTTTAATAAAAATTCCCAAAAAATCACCTTTTGTTAGGCCATTGCACTAGATATGCCCCTTAATTCGGCCTGCTCCTTCGGCATACCAATGCCTTTTTTAACTAGTAAAAGCTACTTGATCGTGTCAGACAACTTTGTCTACCCCACAACTTCCCTCCTTATTCCTGTGGAGCGCAACTGAGAGATGTTCTCCTCTGATTGGCCATCTCATGTAGAGATCGGCAACGGTCCGGCAGACAGATATTTGTGTTCGCGAATTCAGTTCCACTTTAGTTTGGCTGAAAAATTTCTGTCTAAAATACAATGCAATAGTCGGGTAGCCTTGAAAAGGAGCTCAAACTAGCCATAAATTTTCGATCCATCAATATATGTATATCTCAATACTGTAGATTGGGGTATCGAAATTATTGTTCTATTCTTCACTTTTAGGGATTTGCTTCATATAATAGTCGTTAGCAAGAGTTAAGCAGCAGCGGTTGAAACCTACTTATACTGCTTACCAAATTTGATTTCCAGTTCAACCTCTTTGCCGAAACTGCGCCCAAAAATTTTTCGTAGGTTTCGAGGCTTGGGTCAACTCCATTTAATGTTGACGGATTTATTGTCGGTAACTCTTAGTAAATACGCCAAATGCCAACTTATATGAGTTGACGCAAAGTCCACTTAACAACGGTTAGACCAGTTATTCTCCGAAGAAGCAAACCGTCCAGAGTTATTGAGAGCTTCCTCTATGTCCAGGAAGGAAATGAGGCCGAGTTTTTCTCGTTGAGAGCTTTTACAATGAATGAAATTTGACTAGACAACGCGGTTTCCGCTGACCAGCACACGAGCCCAACGTAAAATTTATACTAAAACAATAAATGGTAAATTTTAATTAAAAAAATCTCAGTGGCTTAAGTTTTCCTACTGGGTATGTTTAACATTTTAGCTGCTGCACTAGCATAGTTCAAAAGCAACCCCTATTAAAAATGCATAGAAAGCAATCCGAATCGTTAAATTTAGGAATTTAGTAATGCAAATTACACATGTAAACACCAATCAACAAGGCGAGGGGCCTTAACAGTAATTAGTGTTATAATTAGCAGGAAAATAGTAAATTTCACTGTGACTAACTAAGCGCTGTACATAGTGATTTTAGGAAAATATACATACATACATATGTATATGTAAAACTACACGTATATATGTATATATGTATGTATTTATGTATATGGTACATAAGTACATACTTATATGTGAGTAACGGTTCGTTTGAGAATATTTAAATTGTCGTAAAAAATAATTTTCGTGTTCTATGCAGATTGCATTCTTGAGATTCATGAAAATGATCTGGGATTACAACGAAAAATCATATTGACTGATAAGCAAAACTTTCGCACCTGAGACTCGGAAAACCGAAGATTTGTTGTTGAAAAGAATCTCCATCCTCAACGTGTAAACGTTTGGTACGGTTTGTGGTCGAGTGGGATCATTGGACCTAACTTTTTCGAAAAGCAGTTTGAAGCGCTGGATTGCGCTATCAAGAGATGTTTGTGTTTATGTATTGATCTGGCGAACGTTTACTTTCAACAAGACTGCGCTACGTGCCACACAAGCAACGAACCCATCGATCTTTTAAAGGAATAGTTTCTGGACCGTGTTACCTATCGAAGAGATGATCGGATTCAACACCTTGCGATTCTTCCTTTCGCACCACGTGAGAGATAAGGTCTACACCAAGAGGCCAATGTCGATTCAAGACCTCTAGGATGGAATTCGTGAAGCTATTGCGGGCCTACAGTTGCCATTTTGCGATTTGGTGATGGAAAATTTCATAAAAAGGATACGGTTTATTTGGCTGCTATTGTTTTCCCTTATTAATGGCATACATTGAAATAAACATCCTATCATTTATATCAAAATAACAACTTATTGGAAAACCCTGTATTTATTTTTGTATTAGAGCTTTTGGATGGAAGAATTTTATAACAATTTAAATGATTTCTATAAGAAAAACAAATCGTTAATAGATTCAACACAAACGTTTTCAGTTATATTTAACACAATTTTGATTACATAAAGTTACACCCTCTTCTTCCAATAGAGCTCCTTATGACCCTAAGCCGAAACAGAAATTGAATGCATTAAATTTTCAAAACTAAATTATTATTAAAAGCCGCGCAAGGTTGTTGTTGCATGTTTCAAAGTTTATTACCAAATACAAAAATAGCACAATTTTTAGAATACATACTCGACATACATACGTACATACATAACGACAACTATACAATACACATTTGCACCAGGCAAACACAAAAAAAACCCATAAGAGTAGCCAAGCCGGCATGATTTTGTGAATTCCTCACTGAGTCAAGCAAAAGAAAATGAGAGAAAACTTGCGTTTTTTGTACACATGTGTACATAAATAAATATGTACATATATGTATGTATGTATAAATGTATTTGCATTTTGTTTCTACATATTAATTTTTAAAATACATTTTATTCATGCTTTTGCATGCGGAGAGTGGTATTAAGAATTGAGAAAATCCAGTCAATTTTCGACATAACCGAGGGGGCGATTGCCGTACACCACACTCATTTTGAGAGCACTCGTCACCGAGTGAAAATTCTAGGCGAAAGTACGCCGACGATTTAATAGGCTAAAGAAAAATCTCTCAACGAAACGAATATGCACTGGTTCGTTCTTGTTTCATCGATTTGGTTCCAGTAATTTGGATGTAAACGATGTTCCAGGTTGTTGAAAGCCAAATGTCGAGAATTTCAAAAAAATAATAGAAATCTCTGAATCTGACCGTCATGCGAGCACCGTTGCGTTTGCTCAACATTGCATAAAAATCCGTTTGGAATCATTGGAAAAAGGTTGGATACACAAAGAAACTCGACGTGTGCATAGCACATGAGTTAACGATAAAAATCATCATTTACCGAATTTACATCTGCCAATCGGTGTTGAGTCGTAAGAACATCGAACCATTTCTGAAGCGGATGGTGAGTGGTATTGTAAAGTGGAACACTTCATTTACAGCAATGTCAAACGAATGGGGTCGTGGTCGAAGGGGAGTGAGCAGGCTTAAATGGTATCCAAGCTGGTATTGACGGCCAGTAATTATTTTTTTGTATGTCAGGTGGAATCGGCAAGGAATCATCTAATATAAGCTCTTAACTCGGAACTGTACTATCAGCGATTGCAAAGAAACGATTGCCCAGAAGCGCCCGGTTTTGGTCAACAAGAAGGGAGCTGTGTTTCATTAGGACAACGATAGAGCACACACACCGATAGTGACTCACAAGAAGTTCCAAGAGCTTAGTTGGAGTTTTATATGTTTCCACCTCTTAAGTCGGACCATGCACCAGGTGACTACTATCTGTTAATGTCTATGACGAGTGATTTGGCTGGTAAAGAACTGAACTGAAGAGTAGTATGTGTAAATCGATTGTCCTGACATATTGCCAATAGGAACAAGTATCTATGGGTGTGGCATATTGACATAAACTTTAAAATGACAAAAAGTTATCGAGCAAAACGGCGTCTATTTGACATAAATGGTATAATTTCAACTATGGTAAATAAATTCTACAATTTAATGCATAAATAAGGCATGACTTTTTACTAGACTTACTATTTTCAAAAAAAATAAAAAAATAAAAAAAAATTTGGTGTCTCTATTTTTGAATTAAACTTTTTATTTTTTAACAATTTGTATTTTAATTTATAAATTTTACATTTTATTAATTTTTCATGTTTATTTGATCACAACTACCTTAAAAGGTCCTTCAGAATTTTATTATAGACTCTCTTTATATAAATTATAATATTTTCAGCAGTAAATTTGTCTATATTTTATACAATTATTCAACATATCTGATTATAAAATATGCCTCATTGACTGTCTTATTGCTTAATGCTATTAGAACAGCTCTGAGATGCTCTGAGAATATGGATGGATGTGAAAAATCAATTGCATACTGCTTTTATTTGAGACGATGTTACCCACATATACCGTGAAACTTACACTAACAACAGTAGCACCCTACAATTCAGCTATACTAGATACACACTGCATACATGTGTACCCACATATTTATTTATAAATACATTTTTATTTAATCACATTTATAAGTGATTTTATTTATTGTCTCCGCTTGCTTGAAGAAGTGTTAACTAGGCTTACTTTCATCCCACAGATAATTGTTAAATCGATACTGGTGTCTTGGGGGCGCAACAACAAAACGATTATTGCAGTATGTATGTATGTATGTGTATATATGTATACTCGATAGACTCATAGCAAATGGGGTGGCACTAAAATCTAACATTTGAGATACATACAAGACGAAGTGCGTGTCTTTAAAGGAAAATGCGTTACAGCAACTTGTAAGCCGCAACGCACACACACACACGCACACACACACATACGCCACTCAACGCTTTTGGCTACAACCAACCGTTTATGGAATGTGCTTCATATGCAGCGTGTAACACCATACGGATCAATGGAAAGCAGGGCCATTGGCAATGTCGAATATGTTATTGATTGCGGCTTTTGGTAGCCTACCGAAAAGGTATCAAATAACGGTGCAACACAAACATGATAGAGCGAAAAAGGCGTGTCAACGCACTGAAAAAAAAATGCTCGAAAACTGCATTAGCAACTGCGTGAAATGGTGGAATTCAAAGCAAATATTAATAACAAAAAAAAAGATCATATAAAATCGCATTGATATTTAAAAAAGAAACTTTATTATCGCCATAAAATGCGACTACGTTTTAATGTCTCACATTAACTTTATTTTAATGAGAAATGCGAATGCATTAAGGTGTAACTAAAAAAAGAAAACGTGTGCAGACTCACCTCTTTTGCGATGTACAAGTTTTCCTATAAACGGCTTTCAATTATCCTGCAAATGCAAAATATGTTGTTACAATCAGCTTTTGGAAATTGCGCTTTTGTTTTAATAGAAAAATTGCAATTTTTTTCTTAAAACAAACCAAACAATTCCCCTTTTTTTTGTGTAATTAACTTTTGTGATTTTCCTTGTAGATAGTTGTGTATGTAATTTAATTTCTTTTTAATACTTTCTTTTAGAAAGTTTTTTTCATATACAATTTTTATCTAATGCAAAAAAAAAAAAATTTTGTGCACACAAATTTTCCAATGAAAATCTACTGTTGAAAGTTCTCGTATAGATACACTTTACCGCGCGCTACATATATCTACATATGTACATATGTACACTTTTTCACTTTTTCTGCCACTCGCTCTGAAACCTTCTTAATATCAGCTATTCTATCTAAGCACTCTAAGCACTTTTAAGCAACGCTTTGGCTCTACGTACTCACAGTATTTTCCTTTAAATTTCACGTTTCTCGCTTAGTATGGCAGCCAAACAATTTTTCCGACGGAAATATTACAAAATAATATATTTTATAAATTTAGAACTCTTAAAAGATTTTTTTTTTTTGCTAGAGACACTAGTTAAGTTAATAATACGTTCCGAACACGCTCACGTTTTCCACTCAACTGATGTGTTGATTTCTTGAATGCTGTTATGTAGCTTCCGTCGTCTGCTTGCTCTCCTAGCGATTGCTCTCTAATATAATACAATTTTCTTGGCTACACGGCAGGTGGTGGTTGCACAATTGATAAGCTGGAAGCAGTACGCATGCACATAATTTATCTCTCTGTATGTACGTAATGTATATACACAGGTAGATAAGCGTAATAAAAGAGTTTCTAATCCCGAAATGATTTTCGATGTCGAATATGCCTTACTCATCATAAGTACTAAATTGTTTTCATTGTAGAGAATATGAAGCTTAAAGATTCATGTCGGCGTTTTCGATTGCCGAAACCGATGACAACCGAAATGAGAAGTGAAATTGATTTGATGATCTCAGTTACGAGCTCAAACTAGAAGAAGTTTAACTACTTTGAAAACTATTTTGATAGACACTTTCAAGGCAAAGAAAATGCGACTTAGTTACCAAGAAAAAATGGTTTGACCTAATTTTTTACCGAACTAAAATTGTTTAAAAAAAATTAATACATAATGTAAAAATTTTGGCGCTTTGTAACCGCTGAAGCGGTTTTTATCCGAGCTGGTGTGCGTCCAGACCTTTTTCCTCCTACAAATAGGATTTTCATGAGAGTCGGAAGGTTTTGCATTTACTGCCAATGGGGGAACGCATTTAGAAAAATTTATTTTCCACAATTTTGGTTGCTGATCGAATCCTGGTCTTCAGAATAGCAGTACCAATGCTATTGCGGTCAAATATTTTTCAATGATTTTTCCTTTATTGAAACACAAGCCGGTTAACGAGCATCAAATTACCATACTCTTATAAGTTTCAATATCATTTTGAATTGTTTATTATACACAAATTCATTGTGAAATGATGTTCGGTCAGAAGTGAGGCCTTTTTTTTTTGTTATATAGTACAGAAATATTTCGGGTTTCACAACTCCAACATGTTCTGCGTGAGTTAATATTCTCTCAGAACACATGTAACTTTAATTTGAGCAGAGAAATGCAATGAGAGCCTTTCAAATCTGATAAAAGAGAATAGTGAGCAAGGTGAAAAACATACAAAATACACATTCAGTATTTCACAGTTATCAGTTGGGTAATGTGTCAGTGCTACCAATTCAATTTCAATATTATTTTAAATAAAGTTTAAAAAAGGAAAATAAGTATTATAAAGAATTAATAAGGCGTTAATAAATAAATAATATTGGTAAACATGAACAAACTTTTATCAATAAAGTAAAGTTTTCAATTTCAGCTGCTTCACCTCAAGCAATAAGTGCAAATAAAAATTTGGTTAACATTAAAAAGCTCAACTCATGAGAGCCAACTCGGCCGTAAATGAGAAGACTTCTGCGTAGATACTTCTTTTTTTTTATTTATTATAAATAGACTTGTACTGTGTATTAGATAAACGAACATTTCTGTCTTAACCAACTCACCAAATCTCGCCTAAAATCGTGTACCTAAAAAGTTTCATTATTAAACATACGTGGTGCGATCTACATACATATAAGAGTGTCGTCCGAAAGAGCCTGAGGTGGATAGACGCGTTCTACAACGTGTTAGATCACTGAAGTAAAAAAAAAGATTGAATGAAAGATAAAATGCTTTTGGTTTTGGGAAGGTAGGAAGGAGGGTAAAAAATTGTTAAAAATAAAACACGTAGTATGGATACGATCTCTCAAGTCCAATGTGCTTATAACGTTATAACTCAACATTAAAAGTAAGTTTATTAGGAAAAATATTGGTAAATTTTCCAAATTTCATTATCGGTAAGTAATTCATATACATACATAAAAATGAAATGTTGATAAATTTTTTTAATTGAGCAGCGGCTTTAGTCATTTACAAATTATTGAATGGCACACAAATTGCATCTTCTCACTATGCTCAAACCTGCTGCGCTTGGAGTTGACGACATTTAACTTCTTTTAATCTTCCGTCGTCACATTAAGATTTTTTCGCGAAGCAGTCGTAGTGCATCCTGCGTTTCTAACGTATATGTGCAGCTAAGATCCACTACACCTAGAAAAGTCTCCTACTTGATCACTTATTTTACCCATAGCAGGGAATGGTCGTCATATGATTTTAGGATTTTGACATCATTCAGGCAGCGCTCACCATCGAAAGTTGGTATAGCCGTGCACCGGTCTTTATCTATTTTTACGTACCTACACCGACTTCTACTGCTCCTTCGTAATCTGTCCGAGGAGATTGCTCCGCTGCTGCTCTATACACTGAAGTCTTTCCCAATCGAGCTTATAGCGTCGTCCTTTCGCTTTCAGCGAACAGCTGCTTTTTTCTGCAGTCCATTTTTAGTACCGGTTCGCAAATATTGGATACGTGATCATGAATTGCGGTCGGATCGCGTAGTAGGTCCGATCTTTCTACATTTTTCCCTAACAGACTTTGTAGTTAGCTTTCGCCTTCAACTCCTTACTGGGTTAGCCTTCGGCCTTGGCAACTTTGGCACCTCCGGAAGAGCGTAGCGAGGCATTCTCTTTAATGATGCTAGTGCTTTCGAGATCCGACTATGACACCCCTTCATTGTAATGAGGGTTCGGCAGTAGTACTACAAATTCTCCCTTCATGGCACGATTTTTTGGCTTAGGAAACCTTTACCACTAACGTTTCATACCCACGGTCAGGTCCTTAAACGTGACCGAAGCAGAATTGAACGCTGTACGTTACTAGACTTTTCATCTTAGATTATCTTATGTAAAATCTTCAAAATGAACTGTCATAAAATCCCCAACAAATCGGCACATCCTTCTATATATTTACTCGTATATGTAATTACTTGTTATACACATATGCAAATAGGCTTGACCATCATAAATATAAAAGCTTTAGTAGTTAATTACACATGTTTGCGCTATTCGCTGCCACAGTTTAGTTTTCGCTTGATTTTTGAGTGCACCATGGCATATACGTAACATCGCATTAACTACTACAGTCCTGTTCGTTGCTCTGATGGGTAGCAATAATTGTTACTAAATTTTACTGAACCGCATTCGGTGAGGCAAAAAGGCAGTAACGAGAGAATGGTCGTAATAGCTGAGTGATTTTAAGTGGAGTCCTGGGCCGAACAACATCCAAAAATTTAAGAAAATTCATTTAAATAAAAAAAAAAAGTTGATTTTTCTAATTGCGGTCGCCCCTCGGCTGGAAATTTCAACCCACCCGATTGCATACCTGACATGAAATAGAAAAACATTGCATTATAAAAAACCAATATCCGGTCGAAGGCGGCTGAGGATGAATAATAGATCCCTCCATTTGAAAAAAAACGTCAAAACGCGCATCACAAAATCGCTTCAGCGGTTGCAAAACACCGGAACGAAACTAAGCTAGCTGAAAAAGGTTTCTAAAGGTAGAAACAAGTGAATAAAAATTCGGAATGTTTGTTTAAAATATAAAAAGTTTCTTTTTTAATATTTTTTCTTTTGGAACAAGAGATGGAATCAATTACATACTTTCCAATAAAATGTTTATCATTTTCGAGAAAGAGGCTGAAAGTTCTCGAAACGCATACGTTTACCAACCCGATGGAGTTAACCGGCATGGACTCCACACCGATATGTTCAGGAAAGTGGCTATGGTCTGAACCCCATCAAAAGGACATCTGAGAGCGCTACAGATTTAGTATTCTACAATCGTTTATCCAAACAAACATTGACACAGAAAATCATCGAAATCGAAGGATTATATCATTTAGCTCATTCCAACCGATTTTTCAGATGTAGCCATTAATATACAACGCCAAAATGAAATACCATAAATTTATATGATCATGAAAGATATTTTTTTTTTTACAAAATTTAAGCCCAACATACATATGTATGTATGTACATATACATATATACTTTACTTTAATTTCTTTTCTAATTTTTCAGCTCTCTTTTTTTGAGAAAAATATCCTTTTTCACCTTCTCCCTGACTTTATCTGACAGCTACAACGCCGACATCACACTGACACTTTTCGCAGACATTGCGGCGACGCAAATATTGCACCAGCCATTGTATTGATGACCAGCCAAATAAATATTTACAAACTATTAGCGTCGAGAAATAATTTTTGATTAACATTACAAAGAACTTAGCAACCTCTAAACGTAAGCAGACAATCAAATATGGGTAAGTTGAAATAAATTAAAAACAAAATACAAATATTAACGTCATGATACAAATTTATCGATTTTTCTAAACATCATCATCTCAACGCTGAAGCCTCAACTGAAACAAAAGAAAATAACAGTCTGCTTGTGTCCATGGGTTTCTCCTGTGTACTGAGTTTGTCAATATTACTTATGATGAGCCTTTATGCAAATTGGATTGCCAACACGGAATTGCCCTCGATTGTGATTGGGCTGATTGGTACACTGCTCCTACTGATTTCCGTAGCACTTGTTTCCAGATCTGTTATTTTAGTATTTGGCAATGAATTCCATGCTAAATTCATACCAGATATATTGGCGTGTGTGGCACTTGCGGCGGCTGCATTCGGTGTTGTACATCAAATTTGCACCATGACATGGTTTGTTATTAGATAATTGTAATAATTTATCAAAAAGAACTTATGTATTTACATACATACATATTTATGTGTGTTAAATTTTGTATTTCCATGCAGGATTCTTTTTGGTCTCGTGGCAGTGTATGGTGCCAATCGCATCTGCCTTAAGTTCATTGATCGTGCAACCTCAACAGAAAAGCTAACGCCAAGTAAATCAGAGAAAAAGAAGAAGAAGCTAAAACGTCAATTCATATAAGTATGCATTTCCAGCTAATTATTTAAATTTAAAAAAAAAAAAAAGAAAAATTAATTACAAGTACTAGTTATGCCTTAAATGAACTTTCATAATTCAGCTTTAGCTTTTCTAAAAAAAAAAATTAGTAACCAAAATTTGAGAAAATGATATGTATATTAAAAATATGTTAAAAAAGATACCTTAAAGCGAAATTTAAATTAACAAATTACAAAGTTGACAAATATAAAATATAACGGTTTGTTTATAAAGATCTACAGTGAAAAAAGTAATACACCTTCCTCACAAGTGTCTATTATAGTAATTAAGAAGTCCATTAAAAATTTTAAGAAAATATTTACAAATATGAACATAAAATACCTAAACGCTTTTCGCACGCGAATTCAATAATACAAAATGGAAGCCTTTCACGAACAAAGCGTAATTTAATTCTGAACCTAAAGGTGTCGTCAAACGTAGCAATTTTCACGCAAATTTTATTTCCTTTACGCATGTTGCTGTCAGAAAATTTTCAAATTCCACATGTGAACAGCCTGAAGCTAGTTTGTGCAATTTAATTTTATTTATAATTGCTGAAGTAAAAATTTCATTTATCGGCAATTTGATATCAGAAATTAAATTTTTAATTGCCAGCAATTTTCCCCCCTTAAAATTGCTGTCATCGGAATTAAATTAATTAATTAGCAAAGATTTAAAAAAAAATATTATGAAATAAAATAATTTCTAGAAATTGAAAATCAATTAAAAAAAAAATATCGAAATAATTATTTGTTATGTCTGACGACACTTTAAATAATGATTTATGGATTACCTAGAGGAGCGACGTAGTTCTGTCCCAAAATTACTGTCATTTTGATATTAAGACGATTCAACATTTCGTCTGATACCTACAAGCCAACTTAAAAAAAATACCTTTTATGCTCATAAATGATAAAAAAACATATTTGTATCTTATCTATTTAATACAACTTTATAACCAACCCATGCTTATATTTCTATTTACACTAAGAAAATTAACAGCAACGATTTATGCCTTTGAAAAATTTATACAAGTTTATAAATAACATTAATATTTACATTTGATATTTACATACATTAAATAATAAAAATTATAAATTAAAAAGTTATTACTGAATTTCGAAAATCAAAATTGGGGTTTCCTTCATCGTTCTTACCTTTCCACTGTATAGTAGGACGGGAATTATGGCCGACTTGTAGATTTTTGGCTTTGCTCATCGAGCGAGGACTTTACTTTTCAATTGCCTATTTAGACCAAAGCAGCACCTGTTGACAACAGGGATTTTCATTTCGATTTCAGGGATCGATTAATTTTGGTTCCCAGATAGACGAAGTTACTTACGACCTCGAACTAATAACTCGCAACAGAGGCGTAGGAGCCAATACGCAAGTGTGCCGACTGCTTGTTTGATATTTAGTCCTGGACTCATTCACTACCAGACCGAGACGCTTCACTTCCTTAGCCAGTCAGAAGAAAGGAGAACTTACCATGCAATGAGGTCAGTATCAGCAGCTCTACACTCCCATAGAAAATTGTACCTTTTCTATTTAACTCTGCAACCCGTAGTATTTTCTCCAGCAATAAATTAAAGAAGCCACATGATAAGGAGTTGCCTCGTTTGGCATCGAAGTACTCGGCGATGGTGTTGCTTAACGACAGCTTACACAAGCAAAAAAGTTTTGCGAGGATACCAAATTAAAACGTGCTGTCAAGGACTGCCTTTAAATCGACGAAGAGGTGATGTGTTTCGATTGTCTTGTGGTCTTGTCTTGTGGCCACAATAATAAGATCCAAACAATTTGTTGACGGCGGGCTTTTATACGTATAACCAATCGATTGGAGGGTCATATTCAGAAAACCTATCACACAACCCCGCTAGGCGAGAGGGTTTCAATTTCGCGGAAAAAGTGCTGTAATTACTGAAAAACTGAAGCTTCTTCTCTATTAGTCCTTACCCAATGCTCCACACGGGTTGGTTGGGTCAATGAAATCCACCTTTTTTTGTGAAAATGTTTCATTGTCAATAGTTCCGGCCGTAACCAATGTGTTACAAAAAGAAACCTCCTTGATTTCAGAAGATTCGTTTTATAGTTATCGTGTCACTCACCAACAAAAGGGACCTATTTTAGCAGCAATTTTAAGAGCAACCATTAAAAAAAAATTAATTAATACTTCTATATGCCTACTTATATAAATTAACTTATATTTATACATATTTTTTTCTAATAAATAAATTTTATTTGAAAAAGCACGTTTCTTGAAAGAACCTGGCCTGTTATCTTAGTCTTATCTCATATTATATACCTTAAGTACTTTTAAAGCATGCGACGACAAATTTGAATGAAGGCACCTTATTAATAATATCGATATTACATATTGTATCGATTAATGGAGTTATCGGTTTCTATTTTGTAATCGCTAAAGCACTTTGACATATTGTTGCTAATCACTATTTATTTCACATCTGATTTGGTGCTTTGCTTTATAAACAATTCCTCAAATCAATATTTACTGTGTGTGTGTGTTTTTTTTTTAATTATTCACTAAAGAAAAGTGTCCAAACAGTTTAAAGAAAATGAGCTCAGGTGCAGTGCGTGCGCCTGTTTCGCAACTCATCCACAGCAAGGAGGATGAAGTTGAAAGTGAAGAGCCAAAAAAGAAATCCCGTGAAGACTGGCGTAAAGCCAAAGAGTTGGAAGAGGCAAGAAAAGCAGGTACAGCACCAGCAGCTGTTGATGAAGAGGGTCGCGATATCAATCCACATATACCACAATACATTTCGAATGCACCTTGGTACTATAATGCACAAGGTCCAACTTTAAAACATCAACGCCCCCAACGTGAAGATGAGCAAGGACAACTAGAGAAGCGAGCACCAAAAGGCTTAGATATCACAAAATTGGTAACAAAGTATCGGAAAGGTGCCTGTGAAAATTGCGGTGCAATGACGCATAAGAAAAAAGATTGTTTAGAGCGGCCAAGAAAAATATTGGCGAAATATGCAGAGTCAATTGTTGTGCATGATGAGCATGTCGTGCAGGAAACGGCTGTAAATTACGATGAAAAACGTGATCGATGGAGCTCATACGATCCCGCAAACCATAAGGAAATTATTGAGGAATATGAAAAAGTGGAAGAAGCCAAACGACAATTAAAAGCTGAAAAGTTGAAGAAAAGTATGTAACTATAGAAAGAAATATTTTTATATAATCTAACTCAAAAATATACTAATGTATTAGATCCTGATGCTGAATTCTCTGACGATAATGATAATGAGGACAAATATGTGGATGAAGTTGACATGCCTGGCACCAAGGTCGATTCTAAACAGCGTATCACCGTACGTAATCTCCGTATACGTGAAGACACTGCAAAATATCTGCGTAATTTGGATCCAAACTCGGCTTACTATGATCCCAAAACGCGTTCTATGCGCGATAATCCTAACCCACATATGGCGCCAGAAGAGTAAGCAAAAATAATATATATAAAAAAAAGTTAAGTATTGTATAAATATATTTTGCAGGGTTGAGTTTGCTGGTGAGAATTTCGTGCGTTTTTCAGGCGATACTACCAAACATGCTACCGCCCAACTTTTTGCTTGGGAGGCGCATGGCAAGGGCGTAGATGTGCATTTACTTGCTGAGCCCACAAAGCTAGAGCTTTTGCAAAAGGAATATGACAAGAAGAAGGAGCAATTCAAGTCTAGCGTAAGTATGAAATACACATGAATTAAATAATATTCGCGAATTAAAATTTCATTTTCTCATCTTTGAAATCTTCTAGACTAAAGAACATATTGTCGAAAAATATGGTGGCGAAGAACACTTAAAAGCGCCGCCGAAGACTTTGCTTTTAGCGCAATCGGAAGAGTATATTGAATATTCACGAAGTGGCAAAGTAATTAAAGGCATGGAAAAACCAAAAGCTCGTAGTATATACGAAGAGGATGTAATGATCAACAATCATACAACAGTGTGGGGTAGCTACTGGAATGGTGGTCGTTGGGGCTATAAATGCTGCAAGTCATTTATTAAGGTATGTAATGTGTAAAGTTTATAATCTGCACACAAAATTAATGCATTGCAACGTACAATTTTTATATTCATATATTTCCATAGAACTCATATTGCATTGGCATGAAAGATCCAGAAGCTGCTACAGAACTTTTGCAACCTTCCACTAGCTCTAATATACCTGAAAGTGAAGCAGTGACAGCAGATCCAATATCTGAGCAACCAAACGAATCGTCGTCGTCCTCGTCTTCTTCTTCTTCCTCATCCGAGTCCTCCTCGTCTTCCTCATCTTCATCATCATCGTCATCTTCATCATCATCCTCATCCTCTACGGAGGAGGAGAAAGAGGATGTTAAAAAGGCAGAAAAAAAGAAGACAAAGATAAGAACTAAAAAGCTTAAAAAAATGCGAAAGGCGAAATTACAAAAACGGAAAGAGAAAAAAGAAAAGGCAAAAGAAAAGAAACTTCTTGCCAAAGAGAAAGCACAGTTGGAAGCTGCTCTTCAAGACATACGCGCCAAGTCAGATGACGAAGAAGAGCATAAGGATGAGCGTAAGCGCGGTTATAATAGCAAATACGATGTTAAGGCACCCACAGAAGATGAAATTGATGAATGGCAACGTAAGCGCCAACGTACAGAAGATCCAATGTTGCAATTTATGTCCAAATAAAGTCAATAGTTTATATAAAATTGTATCCTAAATATAATAAAACAAAAAATATTAAAACAAATATTTTGAAATGTCTAAAACCTAAAAACTAAACGATAGCATATTGTTCATAAAGTAAGTCTCTAATCTTATAATATTCCTCCGAGACACAGCCCTCCATAGTCACTTTACCGGTGTCCATACGCCGTAGCGCCAAGGTACCGTTGGCACACCACAACACACCACCAGAAAACTCCGAACTTATATTGTTACGCATGAGAACTTGCTTGAAGTCTGACAGTTTCAGTTCGTTAATTAACACCGCATTGTGTACGGGTATTTCGTCTGTCTCTAGTGTTTCCAATGTCAGTGTCTTATCTTCCGATATCTCGACTTCCATATTTTCAACGTCGCTCTGTGCTCTTGTATCAATGGCTTGTGTACGTACGCCGATTCGTGCATCAACCCAAGCTACCTCGGCGTCTTTTCCCTTTTGGAACTGCAGCTGTGCCACGAGTCCCTCGGTCAAACGTACTTGGTAGATATGCGATTCGGTGGTGGCATCAATCGTCTATTGATTAAATTAAAATTTTAAAACAAATTAAAAAAAATTTTCAATAATAAACTTACTTCACCCTTCTGTGGTGTAAAAACTCTAGCGCCTATATTTTGTTGGCAGTGTTTGGCAACGATATTTGTCGCATCCTGCGTGCCGTGTACCACTATGACACGTCGAGGACGTAATTGGGACAAAATCTTAAGCATGGATTCACCATCTGAGCGGCCCTCAAAGTCGATGCGTTGAATTTGTGCATTGACTTCAATTGTTTTCCGCTGACTGGTGCATTTAGTGGGTTTTTCCAGCAATTGAACATCTAGTACGAAAAATTACTGTATTTTGAATTTAATCATATTAGCTTTACAATTACCATTATTAGTTGCTTTACTCTCTTTGGGTTCTTCCTTCTTAACGTTTTCCTTGTTAATTTCATCTGTCGCTGCCTCAAAACCAATATCCGAGATGCGATAATCCTCTAAATTAATAATTTCTCCGTATTCATCGCATTTGATCTTTTCTTCATGGAAAGGGAACATGGCGTAATGCTTTTTGCTGGATTTAAAGAAACCACTGTGATGACGACCCTCAGGCCGCACCACGATGTCATGCTTGCCGGTGATAATACTCATTTCGATGTCATCATCCGAATCAGAACTGCTCTCTTCTTCTACATCTTGTTTCACTATCAAACGGTTGAGCTTTTCGCCTTGTGTGCGCAGATACTCGTCCAACTCGGCGCCTTCTAATTCAACACGTCGACGAACGTCCAGCTCTAGCTTCCTGCCTACCGAAGCATTCTCCACTAAATCCATCGCCAAGGTACCTTGTGATGTTCTAGAAGAAAGTAAACTCATACAGGTATTTTCTTACAAACATATTTATCAATTTCAACTAGCTTACCTGGACGTTATTATAATACTATTGAGCGGATTCGCTGCCCATTGCACAAACAACTCACGCGTAAAGCCACTTTCCAAGTCCGGTGTGCTAGCTAACACCACCTTTGGACTAGACATTTTTGAAAGTTCTGCTAAATTATGGCATACCTGCATGTGCCGGAATTGAAATGGGTTATTCCGTGCGCCCTCAAAAGTTTTCATTAACTTATCACTCATCCATTCAATTTGTGATTTAGCGAATTCAATTACATTATAGCTGACATTATTCAACATCGCCAAAGAGTAAGCCATAAGACCAGATTCTTTATTTTTCCAAAGCTGATCAAGCATATGCGCCAATTCCAGCACACGTCCGGCCGTGTCAACTGCTATCAGCACATTGCCATTATTTCGTACGGTCTGTAAGATATTTGTCATCAGTTTTTCATCACGGGCTCGTCGACGTGCTTGTTGATATTGTGCATTATATGCATCTGTTATAAGTAAGGACGGCCTTTGTAAACGTTCCAACTCACAACCATTCAGGTGACGTTCTTTCTTGTGATTGAAATCTGTTGCATAGACAATATCCTCTTCACCAATTTTTAAAATTTTCCATATTGTGCCACCTATCATATGACCCGCAGGTAGTGGTGTTACAGTGATGCCATAACCTTTTCCTAAAGAAACCAGAGATCATTATTTACTGGTTTTTTTTTTACATTGTTCTGATTTTTACTAACCTTTAAGTGAAACCGTTTGATTGTATTTCAATTGTATTATTTTATCGAATGCAGCATCCACATCATCAAGTGAAAATAAATCAAAATCATACATATTATAATGCGACATATATAAGTCGTACATAAACATTTGACCCATTTTGTACACTGGTATGGTTGCATAGATGGGACAGTTCATTCCAAGCTTGCCGACAAGATAGGGCAAAGCACCCAAATGATACACGTCCGGATGTGACAAGAGCACTGCGTCAATGGTGTGCACATGTCTGTATGGGATTTTAATTTCTAATTAACTTTACGAACATTATTTCTTCCACTTACCTTTTTAATTCTTTTATAAGATTCGGATCGAATTTTTCATCCCATCCACAATCGAGCAAGATTCGTACTTCATCAATTTGAAGTATATAGCAAGGAGGGGACTCATCCATCGCACCAGAAATCGTATGTAGTTTTATAATGGAAGTCATATCGACTTAATATAATTTTTATTTTATTACAAAACAGTTATAATATTAACAAGTGTAAAATAAATAGCCAGGCGGCAAATTGTGCTCTTATAGAAATGTTTGATAATCTAGCCACTATTTCTCCGGCAATTAAAAAAAATTTAATAAACTACTGTAACATAGGGCAACCTTATACAAACAGCTGTTTGAAGTAAATATTATATGCAGTGCACATTATCAATCGAGGCTGACAATTTGGAATTTCCCAGTTAAGACTGATATTTTGTTAAACAATCAAATGCTTCAATAAACAATTAATGTATTAAAGATCGGATAAGACTAGAAAGCTCGAGTCGTAAAATTAAATTAAGGCAAACTTTTTAAGTTGAGTTTATTTTCTTTATATAAAAATGAAAATAAAGAGATTGGGACTTTCTTCTCAGTGACATAATATAGAAGATAAAAATTTTTTGTAAAAAATTGAGATTTGCTTTAATTCGAAAATATTAATCATTACTTTCCTATAATCTACACGAAGTGTCTGTTGCAGAAGCCGAGTGAACGGCAATGTGCACTATCCTACATATAATAGGTCATAGGTTCGAATTTCGACAGACCAAATTTGAAGAAAATCTATGCGATATCGAAGGCGAGCTCCTCCTCCAAATGGTGGTGTGCGTATTGATATTTTGCCAGCAGGTAAAGCAACCTAAAGCTTATACTTAGCCCCCTTGGAACGGATTATGATTTTTTATGGAGATCAATACACTCGAAGGGGTTGACATTCCCAGCTGTGAACGCAATTAGAAAAATTTATTCTAATTTTTATTTTGAATTATTTTCTACAATTTTTGATGTTGGTCGTACCAGGACTCGAACTCTGGTCTTCCGAATGACAATACCCCTCCTAGCCACTAGGCTATCGCCAAGTTGTATATGTATTGGATGAGTGCATAAGTTCGTGCCCGATTTCAAGTGCAAACTAAATTGAAATTTTTTGAAGAAAGCGCTTTTATTAATCAATTATGTATTCGCCATCATGTTCGGCAATCCACTCCCAACGTTCAACCAATTTACGAATGCCTGATTCATAGAAATCGCGCGATTTCTCGTTGAAAAAGGTGTCAAGGTGGTTTTTGACGTCTTGCACATTTTTATATTTTTTTCCATTCAAATTGTTCTGCAGCGCTCGAAACAAATGATAATCAGAAGGTGCAATGTCGGGTGAATATGGGGGATGCGGCATGGGTTTGGCCAGGGTCGGTTTTGCAACATGTGGCCTGACGTTGTCATGATGGAAAATAACTCCTTTGCGATTGGCCAAAATCGGACTTTTTTCATCAATTGCTTTCTTCAATTAGACCAATTGCTGACAATACTTGTTGGCAGTGATCGTTTTTCCAGCTGGCAAGAGCTCAAAATAGATCACGCCTCGGATATCCCACCAAATGCACAGCAGTACCTTCATCGGATGCAAGTCACCTTTCGATATCGGTTCCGCCCCTTCGTGTGCCTGTTTCCATGTTCTTTTGCATTGAACATTGTTGTACAGGATCCATTTTTCGTCACCAGTCACGAGCCGATCCAAAAAAGGTTCGTTTTTGATCCGTCGAAGCAAAGAAATTGCTGTTGACATACGGTCCACTTTGTTTTTTTCACTCAACTGATGTGGCACCCATGTATCGAGCTTCAAAGTGTACCCAACCTTTTTTAAACGACGAAACGCAGTTGATTTGTTGATCGTCATCAAGCTCAGAAGGCCGTCCACTGCGAGGTTGATCTTCGAGGTTAAAATCTCCAGAACGGAATTTCGCGAACCATTTATTTACTGTGCGGAGTGCCGAAGCACGGTCCAAATAAACGTCGCGAATATCTTTAGTTGCAGCGCCTACTGTTTTTCCTTTGCGGAATTCGTATAACATAATATGACGCATATGATCATTTTCGTTGTCCATCTTCCGTGCGTCTTTTCACTGAGCAACTCAAATCAAAATGAAGTTATTTTATGCTTGATTTACAGTTCGGACTGTCACCTTTCCAACGATATATAATAGTTCGGACTGTCACCTTTCCAACGATATATAATATGTATATATTTCTTTCACGAGCGCCACTCTCAAACGATTCGAACGGCATCCAGCGGAATCGGGCACGAACTTATGCACTCATCCAATACATAAAAAAAGTCGTGATTCCACTCCACTGTCAACACGTTTTCGTTCAACAAGCATATCTACTATTTAATTGAATCGTTGATATCATTCAAAATTTCGTTTTATTCACTTTGTAAGTACTAACAAAGAACGTATATTAATATACGTGCTTTGCTAATATTATTTCTATTTGAAGTAATTTTTATTTTTTTGACAAAAATGCAACCATAATGACAAATCAGCTGTTTTTCATACCTGCTAATTTTGACTAACTGAAATTTGAAATTCTCCCAGGATGAATCTGCAACTTTCTTTCTAAATCAAAACTGCATTGGGGAATCACATCGTTAAAGCAGTTATCAAAATAATATTTTTTTGTTGTTACCCGCAATGAAAAGCTGTCTTTCTTGTTAACTCATTAACAGATAATGTTAAATGTTAAAATTAGAGTGTCCGGTCAACATCATAGGCTGCCATTTTAAAATTAATGTTAACGCTGAGTTTGTGCGGTTTCAACATTAACACAATTTTTTTCGTTTGGATAAGATGGCGCCGTTAAGTTTATTTTCAAATAAACAGTTATTATAAATTAGTATAAATTAAAAAATAATAAATAATTGCCCACGCTTTGAACAAATTTCAAAAAAATCTTAAAAACAAAATTCACAGTTGTCTGTTAAATTTAAATAAAAACATTGTTAATGTACAACTTCTAAAACTAAATAATTAAGTAATTGTTTAACACTTGATATTATTATGATGACACTTTAGCAGATGACTAAGCCCTCCATTCCTATAAGGTTAATGGCTCGAAATCACAAAATTAATTTTTAGCCTTTAGCAGCTGTAATAGTTCTTAAAGAAACCTTCACTTGAATAATTTCAGCTCGCGACTAATTTTCTTAATTTTATTATCGAGTGTTTTATCCTCCGTTTCGCAGATATAATAATGGCGCGAGGTACATTCCTGTCCATAGTAATTGTAAATGTGTTTCGTGGGATTATATGAAAGACGCAGGCAACGGCCTTGACCCTCTATTTCCACCGTATTGTTCAGTATAGTTTCATTTGTGGAAGGATCTTCTTTGTCCTTCTCCTTCTCACCCTTAACATCGCCATCCACATCGATTGTGTTGCTCTCTGTACTGTTTGCGTGCGACATTGCAATGGATGTGAGATTCATATTTGGATTAACCGGCTTTGCTGAGTTGGACCAAATCCACAGCAAACCAGGATTTAAGCCGCCCAACCAGTAATCGCGTCCACGATGTTGAGGTTGATTGAGCAGATGCGCCATTATTTCTTCGTCTTCAGAAATCTTTTCAAATTCAGCAAGATGCGCATTGAGCGCTTTGCAAGCTGAGTTGGCAGTCTTCCAGTTCACTTGCTGTTGACTATTGATATAATAGCAATTATCGCTAATGCGTGTGAAATTCGTCGGACAAGGATCGCGCACTGGAAGTACAATTGGTTTTCAGGCATTAAATTAAACTGAAAAAGTTTTAAATTTGACTAAAGTGAAAAAGAATTTCAACATACCTTCTTTCTGATTGTTACCCGCCATTAAATAGTAAATCAATTGTTCGGCACGTCTTATACGGCTCTCCAAGTAATCAACGCGATAAACCAACTTCTCTATAGCGCCCAACAAATACAGATCATTTTCCGTCACGGCCCGGAATGGTGGCTGCGGTCCGGTGTGCTGCACCGTTGGTGAATGTATCTGTTGTACATGCACCGGTCGTACTGGTTGTGGTGGTGGCTGAGTTGGTGGTGGTGATTGCGGTTGACTGCTACCTCCCAAGCCGAAAAGCTGTTGGAAAAATCCAGGTTGCTGACGTTGTTGTTGTTCCTGCAACTGTTGTTGTTGTATCATTTGATTTGTCATTGGACGAAATTGTGGATTCACAACTTGTACTGGCGGCCGCATATGCGGTTCCAGCTCGACAGCTTCACCTATACGTTTTGTTATATAGACATTTGGTCGCTTGTATGCCGACGAATGGTATGATAATGGACCTTGTACGCCGCTCGGCATAGTTGGGTTCATCATAGACATATCGTTTTGGCTGGGTATGAATGGAAGGTCCTTTGACGTACGTGCTCTAGAAGTTGATTGACTGCGAAAGGACAAACAAATATTAAGACTTGGCAGAAACATGTAATGTAGAGTTTTTAAAGACATCACCTTTCCAAAGAAAGAGTGAAACATCTCAAGCAAAGGAACAAAGAAAGAGATTTTACCAACGCAATTCAAGAAAAAATCCGATTTAAAAGGGAATATGAATCTGCGGTGTCTACTCGTCTAAGCAGAAATGCCGCTCTTCAATGGAAAGAGAACTGTACATGAGATTTCACAAGAAAGCAAAATGAAATGATATCGATTGATGGATGGATCCAGTAATAAGAAATACATCTTAGTTAAACCGTCACTGACTTTGTAAACATCAAATTATGAAAATACTCCGAAATCGCCCTTTTTCGGCAGCCAATACAACGCCCCTTTTGCTTTTGCGGGGGCATGAGCATTCACGCTGCGCTGACCTCGTTCATGCCAAGATGTTCGTGCACAGTTTTAAAAATTGTTATATCGGATATTCCAACCATTCCTGTGAGTTGTTGTTTTCTTTTAGTCGAGCCTCGAACAAGAGTCGCCGTAAGCCAAAGACATCTCAATCATTACGGTCGCAATTGATTTTCCTTGCTTGGTAAGGAACTTTCTACGGTCACGATATTCAATAGCTTACAATTGCTAGCGTATGCTGATGGAAGTGAAGTTATGAATTACGAGGGCAATAGGAAGTAGCTCCTTTCATCAAACTAAAACGCATCTAACTCAGAGGAACTCTCGACAACAGGAGTTACTTTGAACTGAGAAAGGAAAGTCCTCACGACGAAGAAAAATCAAACACTATAAGTCCCTCAACACGCCCGTCCTGCCTTTGGTGCAGTAAATACATCTCCCAGATGGACGAAATGACTCAAGCATTGAAAGTATACTAGATAGCAATACCCGATGGTTTAAGCAAACGAAGGAATCATTTCTGTTGGAAATATCAGTTGGAGATGAGCCTGGACTCACTTGGTGCTTTCTATTTGCGTCGAAGAGTTATAAGAAGAAACGTCTCGCGTCAATTAAGAAGGATGATAGCACCATGAGTAGTAAGTAGTTCACGCAAGTTGCGTATGGTTCGAACAACTCACGATTTTGGGCCAGGTTAGTAAAAAAAACGTCTGTTTGGAAGCGAACTAAAGCAGCAGAAGATGAGCCCTCTACGTGGGGACAGGAAGCAATACCTAATAAAAGAAAATTAAACAATACAGTTGAGGGACAGAGGCAGCCATTGGTCTATATATCTTCAGAAATGAAGCCGGCCATATTGTAACCGTCAATGGGAAATGGTATAGAGCCATGAATAATTACTTTTTCGTGCCTATATTGGAGGATGTTGATCTGAACGATCCTTGGTTCCAAAAAGACGTCTGCATGCCATACAACCAAACGAAATAATAAATTTATTGAAGGAAACTTTTAGTGAGCGCATCATCTCACGTCGTGGGCTTAAGGTGTGGCCCCAAGTACGTGCGATTTAGTCTCGCTTGACAATTTCGTTAGGTAATGTAAAGTCCACGCATATAACCGTTTTATTGCAGGCACATGGCCGCTATTGCTGTAAAATGTGGATTATTATGAAGACCTTTTTTTCATGTTAGAAAAACACTCGGAGGGGTAGACAATACCTTCCGAGGAGAGACCGCAATTGGAATAACCACTCGACTGAGGCGGCTACCAAGTGAAAATTAAAATATTTCTAAAAATTTTACAATCAATTTTGTACAAACTTAAGGCAAAAAAATACCATATTTGAGTTTCGAGTAGAAGACATTTTATATGTGCTTTTGTCAACGACACCGGATCGAGGTCAGTACGTTCAAAATCGTCTAGGTGTCCACGCAAATTTCCACCCAAATTTCCTGATCTGCACTAAACGAAACAATCACAGAAACGGCCGAATATCGGAAAGTGTCTGCGATATGGGTCCCAAAATAACTGACACAACAACACTGCTGGTGCCTGCTGAGCGGCAATGTCAGACCACGCAAATCCAACACAACGGAGGAGTTACTGGCCTCGTTTAAATGGAATGTCCCGAATCAACCTGCGCATTCCTCAGTGGACAAAGGTTTTCTCTTCAGTTGAAATTTTGTGAGGTGCGGAAGTGGACGAAGAGGAAGATATCCAAATGCACCTGCGGGTTAAAGGCCTAATAATTTAGCCGCGGTAAGGCATGCTTGTCGTAAGAGGCAACTAAAATCCAATAGTTCCCGCGACAACAACAGCAACGTGTCAAAAAATTTAGAGAGGAATGATGACTATGTGAATATCTGGGTTTTTTTGTTTAAATAAACATTTTGAAAACCTACACTAATCCAATACACCTACTTTCTGAATATGCCTCGTACAAACCTTGGTGACATAAGATATCAAGAAGTTGGATTTTCCACAAGAAAAAGGTGTTAACATTTTATTCACATAACTCATATTCAAATTCAAATTTAATTTTGTTTCTCACTCTGTGGCAAGTTGTAAATATTTCAAAAATATTACCTTAATACATAATCCTCTAGAAATTCCGACCACACCAACGGCGATGCATTTCCCAATGAAATTCCGGTGCTGGCCAATCCATCGAATGAATCATCCGCATACTTCAACGGAGGTGATATTCGTTCGGTATTTATGGTTTCGTTGCATAATGCCCGAGTGGCCAAGTTCAAAACGATCGTCACAAACAAAAGGCATTTAGCGAATGTGTGTAATCGAAAGTGTTTATTGACAAACGCATAATCACTGTTATTCGTATGGGCACAGGCGTCGGCGGACATTGAGAATTCATTTTCGCTTAGTTTTCGTGCACGCACAACTTTCGTTTTCATTTTGAGCACAATTTATTATTTATTTATTTAATTGTAGTTGTTGTAGCATTTATTTAAATTTTTTTTTAATACAACTACAACTATTACTTCTCATTGAAAAAAAAGATACAGACTGCCTTGAAATCCCTTTTAAATTGTTTTATTTAATCTTTTTTTACTGGATTTCAGACCAAAATGAAGTAAAAATAAATAGATTTTAAATCGTTAATAAAAAGTTATTCAACAAAGCGCACGCTTAAGATTAATGCGTCCACACGCCACTTGTGTAAAAGTTCAACTGAAAACGTCACTTGGCTGTAAGTCGAAGTTTAAAATTTTTAATGTCTTCCACTTATAATTGCCCACCCATCAACCAACCTACAAACATATAAGCCTGCGTGCGTTTGCTTGTGCATGCACAGCTTTGTGAGTCTTCGAAACGGACAATTTGCTTAAAGAGTCACAAACATAACCACACATAATATACAAAAACATATGTATTTACATGTGGGCTTGACAGACAAGGCGAGTACTCAGCTTTGAAGCTCGCCTTCAGCCGCTGGCAGCAGCCGACACTCACCATACATGCATACATACAAACCACTCCTCAACTATTTAAGCTGCACGCATGCGCATAAAGTCATCAGTTGGAATATTTGGAAACTTTCTCCGTTGACTGCTCATTGCTCACACTCAGACGACTCTAGTAAGCTTAATTTACGCTCACATAAGCACATACATATATATGTATATGTATAAATAAATCCACTCCATTGCATTCGGCGGCGAGTTATTTTTAAATTAAATCATTAAAAAATTCGGAAAAAAAACTAATAAAGCATATTTTAATATCTTAACACTTTTACACTTAATAAATAATATTCGTAGGGTAAGTGAGCCAGTTGAATGGACAGTACCAAAGATTTTTTGCAAAAAAAAAATAAATAATAAGAAAATTTGATATCAAAAATAAATGCATTCGAAGTCGGACTTCATTTATAATCTATCAACAAATTTCAATTTTATACAATTATTTTAAATTTAATTTTTTTTTTCGATAAAATTTAATTTTTCATTTTTTCCATCTAAAATAATGGCTTCTCTTAAAATTGTTTTGATAAAAAAAATAATCATTTAATTCTACAATTTTTTTTATACGATTTTTCCAAAATTATATGATTTTTATTTTTCCGAATAAATTTAAATCGGTTTTTAAATTCTCGGGATTTTTATTTTTTCGATATAATTTTTATGTATGCTTAACTTTCAATATTTGGGACCAGCATTTCTCGATATTTTTTCGATCAAATATGATTATTTGTTTTGAATTTAAAAAATTTCCATCGAATTTGTTGCTATTTTAATTTTGTTGTGCTTTTAATTTAATCGAAAAGCAATTGTTCATTTTGGATTTCAATTTTTTCGATTCTTAAGGACTTTTTTCGATAAAATTGTGTCGTTATTTATTGATTTTATTATTTTTTGTTCAAAAATAATAATTATTTTTCGATTTAAATGTTTCCTATAACAATGGAACGTTTACGAGTATTTTGTGAAAATATTTCAGATTTAAAATTTTGAGATTATTATTTTTTTTTTGTATAAAAAAACTTTTTTTAATTAAGTTAAGTTAAAGTTTCTTGATGACATTTATTCGATATATCGTTATTTTTATTGATTCGTTCAAAAATAATCGATATTTTGGGACTTAAAATGTTCAGATAAAAATTGATGGATTTTTTATGCTTTCTATTTATTTATTCGATTCAAAATGAAAAAAATGGTTTACTGGGTGCACTTAGGGAAAACGCTATTTTTTTTTTTGTTAGTAAGGAAGGGATTTTATTGAATATTAATTTATAATTAATTTGGAATACATATTTTGTTAAAAAAATCGATTTGTTTTTTAATTCCACTGTCCGGTTAATAGAATAACAATTAAGCTTGTTTTTAAGTAACTGAAAATGTATGGAAAATTTTTTTCGGTATCCGGATAGCCCTTAATTATTATTATATTACGTTAAATTTAATAATTATTTTATAAAAAAAATAAAATAAAATAAAGCTGGCTGGAAAAAGAACTTTCTGATAAATAATTAGTCTCCGCACTAAGATCTTTTGAAGCAGAAATTCCAGAGTTTCATTGCAATCCACAAAACTATTTAATGAGAAAAAGAAAGCATAGTTATACGAATTTATATATGTATATACTTGGCGCTTTGTAATCGCTAAAGGGATTTTCGGCCGAGCTCCTCCTCCAATTTGTGGTTTTGAGTCTTGATGTTTTCCAACAAATGGAGGGACCTACAGTATATACTAAGGCGCCTCCGAACGACTGTTAGTTTTTTATGAGGAGATTTTATTTCATGTCAGAAATGCACTCGAAGGGGTTGACATTCCCTACCGAGGGGTGACCGGAATTGAAAAATTTAGCTTAATTTTTTATTTAAATTAATTTTTTATAAATTTTTGGATGTTAGTACGACACCAGGATTTGAACCCGACAGTACGCAATGCTAACCATTCGGTTATTTTTGTAAAAAATACGCCATTTAAACATATTAAAAAAAATTAACATTTGATAAAATTCCTCAAACATTTTACACTGTATTACAAAGTAATTGTATATCCGTAGTGAGCTACTACAGGCTTTAGGAGAAGGTGAGAAGCTACTCCTTCTTCTATTATTGACTTTATTTTTTGTTGAAAAGTATAGTAAGCAATGAATTTGTTAAATTATTTTTAAGAAATTTGATTAAATTTGAATTAAAATTGCTGCTTAAAATGGGTACTTCCAGTCACCTGATGAGGAGGTCCATTCAAGTCTATCCAGTCACTTACTGGATTTTTATTGTCCATTCGGTAGAGAAATACGACTTATTTTACAAATGTGACTAACTAAATAGTATTTATAAAAAGTGATATTCTTAATCGAATTCAATTACAGATCCTGAGATGTTTCAACATATTTGCTGGTGTAAAGAAAATTGAAAAGTGTTAATTACCAGACTATTTACTTCACATTTATCCTACATACGAGTGCAAAGGTAAATTTGATTGCTTAAATTATCTTAGAGGTCCTCTTCACAAGACTGCGTGGTAGGCTGTCTGTTTTCTTTCCACTGAAGTTCCATATTCCTCATTGTACCAGCTCTTTCTCTGGCACTGCCGAAAACCAATTGTTTCTGTAGCGACGATACGTAGGGAGTTTGAGTTACCTTTCCATAGTTCCCTTATATCGTGTTGCCGATGACTCGCCGAAAACAGGTGTGCAAGTCGTATAGAAAATCGTTCGGCTGTCTGTTGTGATTACAGGTTTTCGCCATCGAACATTCTTGTGTTTGTTGACGCTCGTTCTTTCCTGCGACAAGATAATGATTCGAGTTGATGTTTGAACGTACGCGTCGGAACGTACGCACAACTAGAACAGTCATTAGGGTCGATATGGTTGAGAGTCTTCGATTTGCAGACAGCCAGGTATTTTAGTTAGGAATGTTAAATCTATATAATTAGCATATATTCTTCTTTGTTTTTTTACAGTGTGAGCTGCTTTTGAATTCCTTTAAAGTCGTGCCGGTCAAATGAGCCGTAAACATTGTGAAGTAGGGTTCTTGCTATTGCCACGATAACGGTAACACATTCTTAAGACTCCCAAGATTACATTTCTTAGGTAAATTCGCCAACTAAAATTGTTTGTTTGACAATCGAATGCAAAACAAATCGAAATGCAAAACAATAAGTTCGTTGATTAATCAGACTCGAATATAATTTTCGGTAAATTAAATCCGATAGATTTAATTTTTCTAATTATGGTCGCACCTCTGCAGGGAATGTCAACCCTTCCGATAGTATTTCTGACATGAAAAAATTCTCCCAATTAAAAACCATCAACTGTTCGGAGGCGGCTTAGAATAAACTATAGGTCCCTCCATTCGTTGAAAATACACTAAGAAGCAAAACCACAAATTGGAGGAGGAGCTCGGCCGAAAACCGCTTCAGCGGTTACAAAGCGCCAAATTGTTATTACAATTAATTCCGATCGGATTTTATCAAAATTCCGTTTAAAATCGGATTTCTGAACAACTCTGGATATGTATAGAGTAACGAAAAGTGCTAATAAAGCTTTAACTAACGCAACATCTAGCTACATACATACATGTATTACGTATGGGCATTAAAATTTTGGCGTTACCTATTTACCTCCTCATGAAGCAGGAGCATATCATATATAGCCAAAGATTATTGACCATTTTGCTTCGGAAAAACTTCCAGGAATATATGAATAAGATTACCCAAAGTAAGTCACTTGCTACTTCATACAAATTTTCATCGATTTGTGTATTCGTGATCCCATTACTGGAATTAGTTTAGGAAAAGAGCTACCAACGCACTAAATTTCAATTTTAATTAATTAAATTTAAATTTCTAAATTGCCGAGAAATAAAAGTATTAGAAATATTTATCCCGACATAAAGATACTTTAATAAAACAAATTCCAATAAATAAATGTAAATAATAAATTTTTAATTGAAATGCCTCAAAAATTGAGGGATTAGTTTGCGTACGAACAGACGAAAGTCGCTAAATCGACTCAACTCGTCATGCTGATCAAATTGATATGAATTTTGTTGAGTCTATCTCTTCTCCTTCTAGCACTTATGTTAATACATCATTTCATGTACATGAAAGGTACAAAATTTATTACATAACATAAATGTGAGCATAAAAATGGTCTCAAAGGCTTTCCCCTATGCTTAAAATGCTTCTGCTTTTCTACATCTAACATAGTCATACGAGTATACGTGTATGTCAATATGCTAATAATGTGCAGACTTTAAGTAAATTTCGCTCATAACAAATTTTTTAATTGCCACTCTCTGTTTAAAGAGAGTCACCCGAAATTCCACGAAATTGATTGATTAATTTCTTTTTTATTTTCAATTTCATTTCAGCAACATTTAAGCCAAACTTTATGCTTAACTAATCCATGCAAAAGTATATACATATTATATATAAGAGTTTGGACCAGTAGCAAAAGGTAGGGAGAA